GCTCTCCCGCTGACCTCGGGCCGAGGGTGCCCCTGAGGGAGCCCTGGCCGTGTCCTGCACCACCTTCCAGAGCTGGCCGGCTGCCCCGCTCAGCTGCACTGCCCTTCCTGCTTCCAGGCTCTGAGAGGCTCCTGGCAGCTCCTGTGGGCTGCTGGCCTGGGCTCTGGCCAGGAAGGTGGCCCTGAGACCATGTGCTCAGTGGGCAGACAACTGAGGCCCTGGGGGTGGGGTGCTGGGGGTCTCCAGAGGGACATGTATCTTCCTGGGGCCTGGTCTGGCTGCCCCCACACCTGAGATGGGATGAGCTCACCTCTGAGGGCTCCACCCCATGCCAGGCATTCAGCCCAACCCTTGGGCCCTGCAGTGCCTCAGCACCCACTGAGTCCCATCAGCCTGGCTGGTGGACAGGGCAGGGCACGCTGACCCTTTCTGCCCAGAGGTGAAGGACCCAGTCAGCATGGTGAGTGACCTGCCCACAGAGTGGGAGGCAGAGCCTGCACAGACACCCAGATGTCCGGTTCCTGGCCTCACAGCTTGGGTGGCCTCCCTCCCTTGCCCAGTCCCCGCAGGGCACCCAGCACCAAAGGCAGGGGAACCCCCAGGCCCATGGGGTGAGAGCTTATCCCGGACTTGAGGTGAGAGGCCGCTGAGAACCACACTTCAGTGCCGGCCCTGGGCGCTCGGGAGGCAGGTGCTAGGAGCTCAGTGGCACCCACTGGATGTGTGGGTGCTTGGATGTTTGTGGAGCGACCGTCTGAACGCCAGCAGAATCCAGGGCAGGAAAGGACCGGTGTCTGCCCCTCTGTCCAGCACACGCTGACATGCAGCCTCGGTGCTGGCTTTCAGGGTGGGGGCAGCTGTGCCGGGGGGGAAGGGCCAGGCTGCCCAGCCCCCTCCTGGCCACCGCACCGCACTTCACTGTCCTTTTACTCATCCCCTCATTACCCTGCCGGGATTTCCCGTCTTCGTTATTGCCTCACCACCCGCACTAGAATGTTGCCCTGACAGGCTGGGCGGTTTGTCTCTGTCGCTGACACCCGAGTGCCCAGAGACTGTCCGGCTCTGGGTAGGGACTCAGCAGGTGTTTCTCCACGTAGTGAGAGCAGGCGTTCTCGTGAGAGAGACGAACAACACCCAAGTGAGCAGGGAAGCCGGCGGGAGATACCTGTCTGAGGGACAGGGAGAGGCCGTGCTGAGGTCTGTGGGCCCCTATTCAGGGTCAGGTGGGTGTCAGAGGGTGAGGCGGGCTCTTGGGGAGCAGTGGAACCCCAGCTGTTTCTCTCCTGCTCCTGCCCCGCCCCCAAAGGAATGAGCCAAGTCCAGGGAGACAGCCCCAGCCCCACCTCTGGGCAGGTGGAAATGGACGACTTGGAGTCGGACTTCAACCTGAAGGTCGTCCTGGTCAGTTTCAAGCAGTGTCTCAACGAGAAGGAGGAGGTGCTGCTGGAGCACTACCTCGCCGGCTGGCGGGGGCTGGTCAGGTGCGTGGGGGCCGGTGCCCGGTGGGGCTTCCCCGGCCTCGCCCCAGGGGCGGGGCCCAGCGTCTGCCTCCCCTCCCTCGCAGGTTCCTGAACAGCCTGGGCGCCATCTTCTCCTTCATCTCCAAGGACGTGGTGACGAAGCTGCAGGTGATGGAGCGCCTGTGCAGCGGCCCCCAGCGGGACCACTACAGCAGCCTGCAGTCCATGGTGGCCTACGAGGTGGGCAACCAGCTGGTGGACCTGGAGCGCCGCTCCCGCCACCCGGACTCGGGCTGCCGGACGGTGCTTCGGCTGCACCGGGCGCTGCGCTGGCTGCAGCTCTTCCTGGAGGGCCTGCGCACCAGCCCCGAGGACGCGCGCACCGCCGCGCTCTGCACCGACTCCTACAACGCCTCGCTGGCCGCCTACCACCCCTGGATCATCCGCCGGGCCGTCACCGTGGCCTTCTGCACGCTGCCCACGCGCAAGGTCTTCCTGGAGGCCATGAACGTGGGGTCCACCGAGCAGGCCGTGGCCATGCTGGGCGAGGCCCTGCCCTTCATCGAGCACGTGTATGACATCTCGCAGAAGCTCTACGCCGAGCACGCCCTGCTGGACCTGCCCTAGGAGCCAGCGGCCCGGCTCCCCTGCCCCAGAGCCGGGCTGGGCAGCCAGGGCCCCTCAGTCC